AGCACCCCCAGAACCCCCGGGGGCAGATCAGGTGGCCCCACCCCGGGCAGAGTGTCTCCAGACTCCCTTCACTGCGGCGCACCTGTTGGCCCGTGACACACGGATCTGCCTGTTTTTATGAGGATCAGGGTTGAGTGGGAATGGTGTTTCTTCCCAGATCACTCAGCCAGACCAAACACACAGCTCTCTCCTGGCTGCACTGCCCTGCATGACTGGGTGTAGTTCCACAATTTCTTAACTTGTTTTTTTTTGTTTTTTTTTTTTTTGAGACAGAGCCTTACTCTGTAGCCCAGTTAGAGTGCCGTGCATCAACTAGCTCACAGCAACCTCAATCTCCTGGCTCAAGCGATCCTCCTGCCTCAGCCTCCCGAGTACCTGGGACACAGGCATGCACCACCAATGCCCGCTACTTTTTATATATATACCCTGTCTCAGCCCTGTCCCGACCCAGCCCTGCAACGGCAGGACACCCAGGCGGGGAGGGAACAAGATCAGACTCACAACCTGGAGCTGCTCAAAGGCTGTGCGGTCCGACACAGCAGCCACGGGCCACTGACGGCTATTTTCATCAGTCACACTGGGCACGATTCAAATGCTCGATAGCCACATGCAGCTAGTGGCTTCCGTACCGACAGCACAGGTACAGAACACTTCTCCACCGTGGCGGAAATTCTATCAAGGGCGTTGCTGACGCCGGTGCCGACTGCACTGCAGAGGCGGGAGCTGGGCAGCTCTCGCCAAGTTCGCCCCAGTAAATTAGTCCAACACCTACTGCTGTCCTCCCTGCATAATTACTGTCCCAAACTGAATAGCCCTGTGCGGAGACCAAGGGGGCGTGGGGGTTTTGGCTTGGTTTTTCTTTTTTCCTGTTTGTTTGCTTTTTTTTTTTCCTCTCTTTAAATCAAAACACCTTTCAGCTACTAATTAATTATTAATCCCTCTTTACTTCCTTCTTTCTGGGAGAATACAGCCGGGCAGAGGAGCCACGAAACAGGAATTACTTGTCTAAAACTGTCCCCATTCCGTGCTCCCAAGGTAGGACACCAGGTCCCGGGGCCTGAGGTCGGAGAGCAGGGTCTCTGTGGCCGGTCTGGGAGAGGCAGCAGCCGCGTACACCAGGTGTCCCTCCCCACCTGCGCCGAGTGCCGGGAGCAGCTTTCAGAGCCTCAGCCTCCTGCCGCCCACACAGGGCTAAGCCAGAGCCCCAGGCGTGTCCTGGCCTGTTCCTCTCTTCCAGCAGGAGCCTCACCGGTCACCTCGGCGGCAGCAGACTGCCAGACACCCTCCCACCCCCACCCCAGTCATGGGCAGAAGCTCGCTGGTGGGCAGGGAGGCCACGGAGCAGAGGGAGGCTGGAGAGGGGCAGACGAGGGGCAGAGGAGGGGCCAGGGGCACCTCTCTCCACCCGACACAAGCTCCCTACCAGCACAGAGCCAGCTGGCTGCTGGGGACTTCATGCCCTAGCTGGCAGCTGCCCTCCAAGGGAGGGTCAAGTCCTGAGAGCCCTGTTGAGAGTGGGAGCAAGATGGGAACCTCTGGTCCGTGAGCCTCGCAGACCAGGAAAGCAGCTGTGCCGCCATGCCAGGGCCACCCGGGAAGTCTGCCACCGCCCCGGGGCCAGCCCCACCGCCTCCTGTGTTTACAGGGTCCACTGTGACGTGGCGGCACCGTCTCCTTCCCATCTCCTCCCGACCGCTGGAGGGGCCTGGGCAGTGTCTCGTCACACACTTTCCACCCTACGTTAGAGGCCCCGGGTGGGAAGAGGGACTCCTGGGACCCGTGCTGAGACAGCTGCCTGCCCGGCGCATGGGCCGTGGGCACAGGGACCGGCAAGAGCCTTCAGGCGTCCGTACGTTTGCTCCCAGCCTGGGGAGGAGAGCGGTCTCGGCAAAGCCCCAACGTGACGAGCCTGAGACTGTGACAGAAGCAGCCGCTGCCCCGCCCAAGGCCCCTGAATCCAGGTCTGCCCCGGGGCCACCTCCCCAGCCCCTATGCGTCCCCCAGACGCAGCCAGGGAGGCCTGAGGCCCGAGTGAGATGGGGGACAGGGCTGAGCTAGGGGCACGGATTGGCGGGGATGGGGCTGGAGGACAGCTGGATTGGGGTCAGGGACAAAGGAAAACGGTCACTCCTAAGGGCTTGGAACCACCTGCCGGAAGCTAACTCAGGCCGGACATGCTGGCGCCACGTGGCTGGCGCTGGGCGTTGACGGCCCCCTGGGTGCCCAGGGCTGAGGGACTGAACTGCAGGCACAGCGAGGGCACAGGGCAGACGGGAGGGATCCCACTCTGGGCCGGGGGGGGGGTGCTGTGGGTATTTAAGGGAGTGTGGGGTGCTGTGGGATTTCAGCCCCAACATCCTGCGGGTCGCCGTGGGCCTGACACAATCCCATGAGCAGTCACGCATCACAACGGCCCACACCTGTGCCACCAGCCCAGGCCAGGGGAGAGCACGGGCCAGGCCTCCGGCTCCCAGGAGCCGCACACGGCCCCGGCCTGGACAAGCCAAGGCCTTGGGCCTGGAAGGCAGAGGGCAGGCCTGGCCACTCCGCTTGGACAGACCCTTGGATGGAGCTCAGGGTCATGAATGCCTTCTCAGTCTAGCACATCTTCCCCAAGGCAGTGTCTTTTGGGGAGCATGCGGAAGGAAGGAGAGGCCGTTTTCCAGACACAGGGGAGAGGGTCTCCCCGGGTGGAGTCGCGGAGGGTCCAGGCGGACCCGAGAAGCAGGCTGGCCCGGCGGGAGCCGAGCAGGGACACGGAACACGAGCCCAGCGCGGGGCGGGCGGGCGCGCTGAGCAGGTGCAAAGGCAGCGACTGGGGCCGCGTGCCCCCGTCCCACATGAGCGCGCACGAGCGCGCGGGATGGCCGGCTCACCTTGGCCCAAGGGGAGCGCGGCGGCCGGAGGGGGCTCGCTGCTGCGCCGCTGCTCGCCCAGGCAGCGCCGGAGCTCGCGCAGCTTCTTCTCCTCCTGCAGCGCCGCCTGCTTGCGCTGCCGCCGCGCCTGCCGGCTCAGGGGCTCCTCCAGGCACAGGCGCCGCGCCGCCTCCGTGATCTGCAGCTGCAGGGCCAGCTGGCGCTCCAGGCCGCTCAGGGGGTCCTGGGGGGGCAGGAGTGAGGCGGGGACAGCAGGGAATGGGGGTCCCGAAGGACAGAGAGCGACCCTCCCTCCCGCCCCCGCCCCAGCGCTGCTGCGTGGCGCAGACAGCAGCCCCTGGAGGGCGGGAGGGGCCCGAGAGCAAACCTGCGGCCTGAAAAGCGGCACAGGCCACGCCAGCCTGCCGAACCGGGCAGGGCGGGAACCGGCGGCACACTTTCCCTCCTGACCCTACAGGGCCCAACAGGCCAGCCCATGGGAAACAGCACGGGGAAGGGCACCCAGGGCCGCAGCCGCCGCGCCTCCTTCCTCCCGCGCAGAGAAAGAGGAGGCCGGCCCCAGGGGCCAGCCCAACCGGTCTGGACGGGCTGCGGCCTCTCCGGGTTGGCGGCTGGCGCTCTTAACTGATCTTCTACCCACCGGGGCCAAACCCAGTGTCCTCCCTTGAGCTCCCGGCTCTCTCGGTTCCCGTGGCGGCACACCTTCCCACGCGGCCAGGTGGCCCTTGCCACGGAGCCAGGCACCCTCGCTGGGTGTGGGGGGCTGCACCCCTGTGATCAGCCTCTGGGGAACAAGGGGTGCCCAAGGCTTCCTGGAGCTCCTCACCTCCCTGTGCAAGGCCCACTCATCCAGCTTGTAAGCCGCTCCGATCCTGCGGCGGACCTTGGGGGCCTGTTCCCCTGGCTTGAGGGGGTACTCCGCTGGCAAGGTGCCCGTCAGCTCCTGGGGGGAAGCAGAGTCAGGCCAGGCCCTCTCTGCCCGCCCGGCCCTTGGCCAGCCGAGAGGAGCCCCTGCAGTGCGTGCACCTGCCTCCCGGGGCTCCCAGGACGGCCCCTGCATCCCAGCAGCCAAGGTGTCCCGTCCCCTCTTAGGGCCTGCTCTGCACTCGCTCCCGTCCCTCCCAACCGCATTCCGACCAATCCTGCAGAGAGCCACAGCCACCCTGCCACAACCCCCAAGGCACTGACGTGGGCACGATCCCCTGCAGCCCTCGTCCCCTGGGCCTGGGCCGGCACCTGGTCCCACTCTCCTCCGTCCAGGGCCCGGGCCCAGCAATGCATCATCAGAGGGACTCTGGGCTCCAGCCCCCGGGCTGACTTCCAGAACGCCCTCAAGAGTGGGCTCCCTCCCGCAGCCCCCAGACGGTGGCTCCAGGGCTGCTCAGGTCAACCCCAAGAGTGGGTGTCAGGGCGGGGCTGGGGGCTCACCGCCTCCCTCAGGCAGAGTCTCCGCAGCTCCTCCAAGCAGGCCTCCAGCCGCGCCTCCAGGGCCCTCTGCTGCTTGCGGACCGCGTGGGTCAGCTCCTTCATCGGGGACACCGGGCTGTCAGGGCCTGCGGGGGGTGGCGGGGTGCGGCGGGGTGCACGCTCAGGGACACTGGGCCGGGAGCCTCTCTCCGACCTGCGCTGACCGCCCTTGGGGAGCGCACACACATGCATACATGCGTACACACAGCATCACGCCTGCCCACTGATTACAGTCTAGCTGCTGTGGCCTGTGTCACAGCCACAAAACACCACGTCTCCCAGCTGCCCAAAGGCGGCAATGTGACAGCTCGGAAGGAAGAACCGTCCCACCAGGTGACCTCTCATGGGGGGACTACATGGCCAGAACTCCCTTTCCTCCTCCTCTTCCTCCTCCCCTCCCCCCATGCATGCAAACACACACACTGCCCCCTCCCCATGCACATACACTGCCCCCCATGCACACACACACACTGCCCCCCATGCACACACACACACTGCCATGCACACACACACACTGCCCATGCACCAACAACTGCCCATCAACAACGACACTAGCACATCCACTCGCACACACACTGCCCCATGCCACACACACGCCATGCACACCACATCTACTGCACGCACACAGCACAGCCTGCCCCATCGCGGCACACACACACTGCCATGCACACAGCACCTGCCCCATGCACACACACTGCCATGCAACACACACTGCCATGTACACACACACACACTGCCCCCATGCACACACACACACACCTGTCCCATGGCACACACCACACACTGTCCATGCACACAAACACACACTGCCATGCACACACAACACTGCCATGCACACACACACACTGCCCCCATGCACACACACACTGTCCCCCATGTACACACACACACACTGCCCCATGCACACACAACACACACTGTCATTGCACACACACACCTGCCCCCATGCACACACACACACTGCCCCATGCACACACACACACTGCCCATGCACACGACATACACACTGTCCCATGCCACACACACAACTGTCCATGCACACAAACACGCCATCACAACACACTGCCATGCAACACACACGCCCCCCATGCACACACACCCCGCACTGCTGCCCCTCCCCCATGCACATACACACCTGCATGCCACACCACACTGCCATGCAACACCCACACGATACACCACACTGCCATGCACCACCACACACCTGCCCCCATGCACACACACACACTGCCATGCAACACCACTGCCCATGCACACACACACACTGCCCATAGCACACACCAGCACTGCCTGACTGCACAACACACTGCTGCTCCATCACATACACAGCCTGCTGCACACACACACACACTGCCCTGCCTCCATGCACCATACACACTGCCCTCCATGCACAACCACACAACTGGCCGCCATGCACACACACACATGCCGCCTCCACACACACTGCCTGCCAGCACACCACACTGCCTGGCCTCCACACATGCCTGCCTGCACACACCACACACACACTGCCTGCCCACACACTGCCCTGTGCACACACACACTTCACCTGCCCGTCCCGAATGCACACACATCACAACACACACACTGCCCTGCCCTCCATGCACATACACACACACACTGCCACGCGCCACACACACACACCACCACTGCCCCACGTACACACACACACACACACACACACACACTGCCCCTGCCCCATGCGCGCGCACACATCTCAGCTTTCTTGCCCTCCGTCAAGCCTGGGCCAGACGAGGCTCTGGAGCTCAGGCCGACCAGGAGGGCAGGGTCTTTACACCGGCCAGACGAGATTTCCATTCCTTAGTGATTCCTGGGGCTAGAGTTGAACACCACAGATCCCTCTTGCAGATAGCACTGAAACTCCAGGTGTCCCTGAGGCTGCAGGCCTTCAGCACCCTCCTCCCCACCCTCCTCCCCCAGCCCGGGGTTCCCGCTCACTCACCAGACTGCAGGATGATGCCGCTGTCGGAGTCGCTGACCTCATCCTTGCTCTCCATGGCGGGCTTCTGGGAGGAGGGGGCACCGGGCAGGGAGGGCGGGCACCACGCCCAAGCCGGGCCAGGATGTGGGGGTGGCCTGGAGTTTCCCCAGCTTTTCAGAGAAAAGAGAAGAACAGAAAAGCTATACGCAAACTCCCCTGGGCTACAAGCAGAGCTTAGGAATAGATGCCTGAGAGGAGAGGGTGTGGAAGTGACAACTGCGCTTCTACAGCCATCTGGGGTGGGGGTTCCACGCTGAGTGCGCTGCCCGGGAGAAGGCGCTCTGGGTCTTGTCAGCAATTCCTGTTCTCAGTGGCCTCTCCGGAGCCCCCCGTTCAAGAGAGGCCTCTAGGCCAAAGTCCTCTAGGCCCAAGGGTGTTGAAAAGGAAGGAGACACACACACACCAAAAATGGGACGAGATGACAAAGCAGCGAGGAAAGGAAGGGAGGAAGGCATGCCTTACTGCCCCAGCAGCTGAGGGCACCTCAGGAAGGGCGAGGGGCACATGGCCAAGGCCCTGGTCTGGGGGCCCCAAAGCCTAAGACGCCCCGCCCCCTGCACTAGGTTACCCGTCTGTAGACAGGTGCAGCAACCGTGTTCCGGAGTGTTCCAAAGCCCTGACACAGCTCCCAAGCCCCCAGCCACACCTGGGACACCCTTTGAGGGGGTCAGACTGCATCCGCTAGACCTCACAGCCAGAGGAGGAGGCCCGGGCTGTGTCAGGGTTTCCAGGAGTTGGGGAGCAGTTGGGGGGCAGAGACTAGAGGAGAAACTGTCCAAGGCCAGCAAGGACAGCACCTGCACCTCTGCCTCCCTGGGGCTCGAGAGCACCTGGGCGGCACAGGTGTAACTCCATGGTGCTGGTCCAGCCGGCACCCAAACAACACCCGTGCCCGCCCCCTCTCTCCCTCCCTCACCAAACCCACGCCCCGGCCGGGCTCCCAGCTGGCCAGGGTCTGGCAGCTGCTGGCAGGCGCAGGCCTGGGGAGGGGCAGTCTGGAAGGACAGCCCAGCCACCTCCTCACTGAGTCAGCCCATTGAGCAAGAGTCCAAAAGTCCTTCCGAGTTTCTGTCTGGGGCCTGTCCTGCCTCCTCAGGGCGCGGGGTGCAGGGTGCGGGGTGCAGGGTGGGGGTGGGGTGGGCCCCAGGTGGGGGTGGGGTGGGCCCCACCCGCCCGCAGCCAGCCAGCAGGACAGAGAAGGAGACCTTGGGAAAGCCAATCAACCAAGCCAGGCAGAGGAGGACTGGGGACTACTGTCAGCCAGGATCCCAGTAATAGCTCTCTGCCAACCGAGACCGAAAAGAGCAGGAACAATCGAGAACTGCTATAGACCGGCGTAACAGCACCGCCTGTCAGAGCAGCAACACAGCCCTGAAAACTCGTGCCTTGCCCTTCGGAATTTCAGTTCTCCAAGGACGTCTGGAGAATAGAGTTTCTGTGGGATCTCGCAAACATGTCAAAGAGGAAGATTGGCCGTGTACTCTGGGACCCCCAGGGTACTTAGGGTGGCTGTTAGCTCTGCACTGTCCAGCTGTCCCACGCCCTATCCCTCCTAGAGACAGGGACAGGACGGCGGCTCGGGCAGCCCTCCTGCCCCTCCCGGTCCTGGCCGTCCACCCGCCCGGGGCATCCTCCGACTCTCCCCAGAGGCCAGGGCAGGGCCCAGGCAGAGCGGGAAGCAGGTAGACGGGCTGAGCCTCTGCTCTGAGGAGGCAGGAGGCAATGTGGGAGGGGAAGCCATCAATTAGTCACACTTGCTAATTAATTATTAACCACTGAGGAGCTGCCTTGGGAAGCTGGGGCGACTCAGCGGCTCCTAGATGGAGCCTGTTGCGGAGAGGAGTGGGGACCCGCAGGGACAGAGGGGTGCTGGCACACCTCCTCTCCCTCCAGCTTCCCCCTCCCCACGGCCGCCCACCCCCACGGCCAGGGTCAGGGGGAGGCACTGACGTGCACAGGGGTCCACCCCGGCTGCCTTGCTGCTCCAGGCAGGGCAGAGAGCACAGGACCGGAAGTGCGGAGTCCTGGATTCTGGCCTGGGTGGGCCTTCTCTCCTCATATGCACAGTGAAGATCAGACAGCATCTAAGGCCCTTCCAGCTCCCCGATCTGAATCTGGACCTCTTGGGCAATGCCAGGCTGACAAGGAACCCCAACTCGTCTGCCCCCACAGCTGTGGGGACCTGGCCCGGGGTCTGCAGGCAGGCTCAGGCCCACCCCACCCAGGAGGCATAGCTGTTAGATAAAGGCGGTTCAGGTAACATCCCCTCCCCCTCCCCAACACAGAGACCCCTCCTGGTCCCCCCTGCCTTTGGCCAGCCCCAGTAGTGGGCCCTAAGCAGCAGCCCACCTGGCTGGACAATGTCCCCCCAAAAAGGCAGAGGGGCATAAAGGAAGGAAGGGAAACTCCAGTACACTTTCCCTTGGGCTGGGCCACTGGGGACCCCCCATCACAAACGTGCCCCCAAAGCCAGGTCCCGAGCCTGTGTGTTCCAGCTAACCTCTGCTTGCCCTCTCTCTGGCCTGGGGAGCCACAGGGACGGGCCCCCATCCAAGCCCACCAGCACCACTCTATCACCTCTGTGCCCCAGACAAGAGCTAGTGGGGGCAGAAAGGGGTGACAGCCACAGCTGGGCTCCCTCCACTCCCCAGCCAGCCTGCCCTCAGCCCCAAAGACCCGCTCCACCCTGCCCCACCCTCACCTGCTCTGGGCGTTAGTCCAGGAATTCGGGGAGCAGCCCCTGTTCAGTCAGGGGGCGCAGGGGTCTTGCATGTTGCCTCAGGCTCCCCGAGGCCGCCGCTGCCCGCCTTGTACTCTCTCTGACGGACTGGGCTGGCCCTCGGCCGCCCCTCTCGTCCCGCCTGCCGTCCCTCCCAGGCTGCAGGGCCAGGGGAACCAGGTTACTTGTTATGACTTGAGTCAGAGGGGAGGGGCAGGTGAGCAAGTCCTTCCCTGAACAAGTCCCGCGACTTGCCGACTTGCCGGCAGGCAGCTCCTGGGCCTCTGTACTTCCGGAGGGGGGGGGGCAGGCGGGGAGCTGAGAAAGAGGGGCTCCCCGGGGAGGAGTCCCCCAAGAAGGAACAGAGGGGTCACATCTTCATGGCCTCAGGAGACCCTAGTGCACTGTGCTGGGCTGAGGTGCCTGCCCGTGTGCCCCCATGTCCTGACCCTGCTCTCCCTGCCTTCCCCCTACCTCAGTTTCCCATTCCAGGAATGGAGGTATGTTAAGACCCCCAAAGCAGGGTTAAATGTTCACTGTCCATGGACAATACCAGCAGGAAATTTACAGACTGCCAAGGTTGGGTCGTTGCTCTTCCTCATACACTGGAATGGAGACCAAGGCCTGAGTTCTGTCACTCCCAAATCAGGATTTAGAAACCTCAGGCAAAGCAGCTGGGATTCCGCATGTAGAGGCTCTGGAGTCCCAGACAGGGAGGACCAGGCTGTTCTCTTCTGTCCCAGGGCATGGAGGCCATCACCTCTCTGTTTATTGTTTGCATCCATCTACATCCACCCCCAGCATCTCCATTCACTGGGGCACTGACCCCAATCCCAGTCCTGTCCCCTACTCCACAGGGAGGCCACTGTGACCCCTGGCTCTCAGCCTCTTGCCTTGAAATGCAAGGCACCAGAAACCAACATGGAACCTACTCCCTACAAAAAAGCAAGCCTCCAGCTCTCCCCCACACCGTCAACCCTCAAGCACCTGGGGACCTGTTGAGAATCCGGCCTGCTTCACAGGGGGACGCCGAGCTGAGGCTGCCTGTTGCTGAAATGCACAGAGCTGTGCCCCACGCCCAAGTCTCCATCCCGCCACCTCCCTTCCCTGCTCTCTGACCTGAACTGCTTCCCCACACCCTGCCTGCAGTGCAGAGACGACCTGGGACCCGGTGTGTCCCGTAGAGCCGAGCTCTCAAGGTCGCCCTAGCCAGCCCCCCCCCCCCCCCCCCCCCCGCTCCTATCTACACATCCACAGCAGCACACCTTCACATTCCTGCTCACGCCCTTCCCAAACAACGCCAGCACGCTCCCCGCTGACCACCTCCTTTCCTCCCCAGGCCTGAGCCTGAGGGGCCCTAAGAAGGGACAGTCCCCCCCCAGATACCATCTCTCTGGGTTTCCCAAAAAGCCTGCAGCCCTTCCCCCCCCCCCCCAAGTCCTGCACCAGTCAGCAGTCCCTCCCCACGGAGGTGCCGCACTTGCTTCCAAAGTCAAACAGAGAGCAATTGACTTCAGGCAGAATCAGCCCTTCCTCCACCTTGCCCTTCCCCCAGCTCCAGGTGGAGGGGTGTGGAAGTTTCTAGAATCAGCTCAAAGCTCATCCCTCTGAATGCACAAATTAAAATCGAGAGAATCACCAAGAGAACCAATTATATTGAAAAACAGAGAAACATAGCAATACAGATGCTTCTTTATTAACATGAAGCAGGATCTAGCAGTGGGTAATTCCATACACGTGATGAATGTAAACAATATTTCAAGACAGCACCGTTGCAAAGTGATGGTCGACTAGGAATCCCACGCATGGCGAAGTCACAGGTTCTGCCACTGCTAGTGCTGCCTTCACAACTAAAGATGATGCTAAATTCCTGTTAAAGGCCGGCAAAAAAAATAAAGATGCACTTTACCCCCCCATCTAAGTTTACAAACCGTCTGAATTCTTTCCACGGATGCCTAGGTGCCCATGGACCCCGTTAAGAACCCCAGCCCTCAGGTAACCCACCACCTCTGAGTTCAGGGGAGAGAAGTAAGGATGATCCACCTTCCTGTCTGCATTGGTCCTGTGGGATTCTCAGACACCTGGCTCCCCCAAATTCACACCCAGCACTTGCCAACACCCCACAGCATCTGAGGTTTGGAAGGGGGCTGGACAAACCAGCCCTCCAGCAAAAGACCGCAGGGGGTCTCCATGGGACCTAGCTGCCATGGCATTCAACTCAAAATGCCAAGGAAGAGGTGGGCTCTCCGGGGGGCCCCCTGGGAATTTGGAACTTAGCACCCCACTCTCGCCAGTCTATGGAATCTGAGGACCGATGATGCCCCAACTCAAAACCCAGAAGATCACCATCAAGACCCCTGTTGGTGAGGAAATGGTGGTTCCTGCCATGGAATTACAGCACTTGGAAGCTGATCCTTGTGGACAAGAGTCCTTCCCCAGGAGAAGAAAAAACCAGACCACGTTAGGGTTTTCATTTCCCACAGAGGAGTCCTGCATCAGAAAACTCTTCCATAGAGTCCACATCCACTCTCCATTTTTTTTTTTTTTTTTTGTAAGTTCCTTCCTATACATCAGGTTGGAAGTTCTTTAAAGCAATGGCCTTGGCTGCCATCTCCACATCCACAGCAGCACCCAGCAACGTGCAGGCTGGGGCACCCCTACATTGGTCGACGGATTAATGAATCAGTGGCTAGCCGCCAGGGTCCACAGTGGAAAAGGGAAGACGGGAAATAGCCTGGGACCCTCCAGGCAGGAGGGTGGGAGATCGTTCCTGAACTTTCTTTCTCGACCCTCCTCCCTGCCCACCGGGGAAGGTGTTCGCCTCCACCCGGCGACGGTGGGGCGGCTGGGGCAGGGGACCCCACGCCAGCCCGGCATGCGCCCTGAAACCAGACCTCCAGACTGTCTCTAAAAAGCCCCTTTGTCCTGTCCACCCCGCTCCCCTCCCCCACCGCGCCCTCCACGTCCAGGCCGGCCCGAGACTTTGGTCCTTTTGTTTGGCGCCTTCCAGCTTCCCGGAACCTGGCGCGGGCACCCGCAGGCGTGGGGAAGGTCGAGGGAGAAAGGTGGCGGGGTTGGGGACACGCGTTGCCGGCAGGAACGCAGGACTCCCACCCCCTTGGTGCAATCGCCCCCGTCCCTGCGAGGCCTCGGGGGAGGGCCGAGGGTTCAGGCGCCCGAGCCCCTCCGTCCACCCGCGCTGGGGCCCCCCAGTCTCCCCTTACCTGTCCCATGGAGCTCCGCCGCCGCCCGCCGGCCCCCGCGCCCCCGGGCCCCGCCGCGCAGCGTCAGGACCGGCTCGCCCGGGCCATCTCCCCGCGCCCACAGCCTCCCCCCCGCCCTCCC